CCTGACTGGAACACGTCAAAGCGGCTGGTCATATCTAAGAAAGTGTTTAACTCTTGAAACACTGCTTTTTCAATAATCTTACTGATAAAGGGGAGGTTTAATATGGGCCTGTAGTTCTGGAGTAGTAGTTTGTCTAAACTGTTCTTTTTCAGCAGTGGTTTGATATTTGCTGTTTTTAGGGACTGCGGGAAAACACCTGACAGAAGGGACGTGTTTATTATCTGAGTCAAATCAGATGCTATGACAGGCAAAACTTTCTTAAAGAAAGCTGTGGGTAGAACATCAAGGCAGCAGGAGGAGGAACTTAGCTGCTGAATGATTTCCTCTAAGCTTTTATAGTTTATTTGGCTGAATTGGGACATTTGGCCAAGATCAATTCCAGTTGGAGACAACTTTGGTACTGAACTTGATATGGATGTATAAACTGATCCTCTGATCTTTAGGATTTTCTCAGTAAAGAAATTAGCAAATTCATTGCAGGCCCGGGTGGAGTGGAGTTCAGGAGCCACGGACACAGGAGGATTTGTTAGCTTGTCGACTGTGGCAAATAAAGCACGAGTATTATTAATGTTCTTGTTAATGATTTCAGAGAAGAAAGATTCTCTTGCATTTTTCAGTTGTAAGCTATATCTGTAAAGTCTCTCTTTATAGATGTCATAGTGAACCTGGAGTTTCGTCTTTCTCCACCTGCGTTCAGCTTTACGACACTCCCTTTTTTCACTTCTAACTGCTGGAGCACTTCTCCAAGGAGATTTTTTCTTACCGGAAAAGACTTTCACTTTAATTGGAGCAATGCAGCTAATGATGTCTGAGACTTTAGACTGAAAGTTATCTACTAGCTCTTCTACTGAGTTGCACCCCAAGGTTGAAGTAGCAGAGTAAGCTTGAATAAAAGTTTCTGTGGCATTTTCCTTAAAGGTGCGTTTTCTTATGATGTCCCTTTGGCTAAATGAGTCACTGGAAATGATGCCCTCAAAGGTAACAGAAAAGTGATCGGATAGGGCAACATCAGTAACACTGACTTTAGAAATCTTCAGACCTTTAGTGATGATCAAGTCTAAAATATGTCCCTGTTTGTGTGTTGGTTGTTTAACATGTTGAGTTAAACCAAAGTTTCTAAGTGTGTCACACAGTTCTTTTGCACTTCTGTCTTCAGGGTTGTCAACGTGAAAATTAAAGTCTCCCACAATAATTAAACAGTCATAATCAACGCATATCACAGACAGGAGGTCACTAAAATCATTAAAAAATTTTGACGTGGACTTAGGAGGCCTGTAAATATTTAGAAACATAGTTCGTACCGGGCTCTAGTAGAAGAGTAAGGACAAGACAACTAAAATAAAATGGAACCATAGTAAAAAATGAAATCTGCCACTGTGTGGAAGAAAATGTGCATCTTCCTGAATGTGCATTTGATTCGATTCAGTTTATTTTTTTTATTTTAGCTCCAAATCACATCACATGTCATCTCAAGGCACTTTACAGTTCAACCAGATCATACAGTTAAATTGATTCAAAGTTTTCTATCAAAGGAAAACCAGCTGATTGCATCGACTCATTGACTGGAAGGCAATCCCTCACACTAAGCATGCTTGTAGCGACAGTGGAGAGGAAAATTTTATTTTAACAGGAAGAAACCTCCAGCAGAACAAGGCTCAGTGTGAGTGGCCATCTGCCAAGGCCGCCTGGGGTTCAAGGAGACAGAAGCAGAGATGCAAAAGGCAGCTGTAAAAGGCAGCCCTGTCCAGGAAACATGCATGATGGCAGTATAATGCTATGGGAATGCTTTCCATCAGCCGGGAAGCTACAGGGGTTAAAGCAAAGATGGAGTAAACTACATACAGAGTAGTCCTAGAAGGAAATCTGTTAAAGGCCACAAAAGACTTGAGTCTGATTCAGAAGTTCCCCCTCAAACAGGACTAATCTAAGCATAAAGAATGAGCTAGAGTCTATTAGAATCAAAACCTATTCATGTGTTAGAATGGCCCAGTCAAAATCCAGACCTAAAAAAGATAAGAATCTGTAAAAAAAAAAAAAAAAATCTTAATTTCACTTCTGAAGGTATTGTCCTTTCATTCTGATTGATCTGTTATGGTAATTAAAGGGCTCTAGATGAGCAAAGCTGATAGAAACCTTCACATAAAGATTTGCTTTAAGTCCTTTTAGTTTATACGGGAAACTAACTTTATTTAAAGAAAGCTATCTGAGACAATTAGATTCTTTGTTCTATAACTTGTTAAACAGTCCCTGGTTAAAATGTTTACCAATTGTTGATACCTGACCTGAGCAGAGCAGAGCTGTGGCAGTAAGCAGGGTGTATTAAGCCTCTGTCACACGCAGCACCGCCATGCTGTGAAGGAAGTTTAGCACTGAGCCCAGGAGATCCTCACTGCTTCCTGTCCACACCAGGAAACAGATCCTTAAAGCGGGCTCTTTATGTCCATAGTTTGCAGATTAAAGGGGATGTATGAGCTCACGGTCACAATAAGGGATTCTTTGAGTTTAACTCTCATGGTTCTGATGCTCAAAGTTAAAGGATAAAAGTGGATGTTGAAGCAGAAATTGTTGTTTTCTTCCTCGACTGATTTATTAGAAACCAGGAGCTGATAAATCCAATTTGTTTAGTTGTCTGAGTGGCAAATGCTTGAAACATTCCGACATTAAATCAGTTAATGAGCAGTGTTTTAGTGTTTGCTCTCTGGGTCAGAATTATGTCATTGTAGCGTGTTTAATCAGTTATTTAATTATTAAAGCATGATCCAATAGATTATCAGCACTTGTTGGTTCTAATGATAGCTGTTTGAATTTAAATAATCTATTTCAGTGTTTATTGTGAATATATATGGATCCTACAAAATTATACATTATAAAATTATAACCTCTTTCGTTATTCCTTTATATCAGTAAAAAACAGATCACTCCATACAAAGTTAAAATTCAGACATATTTTTTATAGATTATCTGACCAATTCATTTATGCACACTAATATAGCTTATCTCTGGTCAGTAAATATGTGAATAAACTCAGAATAGGCTAATTTCAAAGAGAAATCCCACACAAGCTTGATAAAAATGTATTTTACTATCACAAAAATGTATAAAAAGATCCCAAAAATCACAATACATATTTATTAACTTTAATACTTTTTCTCTTTTGAAATCAGTTTGCAACCGTCAAAGGCAAACAGTTAAAATGTTTAAGACACAAGAGAAAACTGCTTCCTTTCGTTTTTCAGGACAATCAAACAGCTGCATGTTTTTTTTTCTGATCAAAGCTGCTTTATATAAAAAAAACAAAACATGTTCAATACCAATCTAAAACTTACCTGCCTTTAAATACAATATATAAAAGCACACTCTCTGACTAAACACATCAAAAACTACACAAATAATATTTGCAATTTATTAGTAATAAAAAAAAAAATTAAGATTGTAAGGGTTTAAAAAATGCAGCATAAATGACAGGAATGTAATAATGACGAATTGTCATGTGAACTGAGTTAAATACCTTTGTGATAGCTGTTATAATTCTTTTTAGACCTTAGAAATATTTGATATGGACAACATGCTGCAAAAACATTTATTCTAAACTAAACTCTTGGCTTAGTTTAGATTACAAACACTGGTGTTTTACCCTATGAGCATAAAAAGTGTTAACTTAGGACACTAACACAAACATTTTCTCTCTTTTGCTAAAATCAGGATTTTTTTTGTGAAAGACACCATAGGAGATAAATTATAAATAATCAAGAGTATAAAACATTGGGAATAATTACTTTAAAAAGTAAAGCTGCTTCCTAGATCACACAACTTTTCATCTTTGTATAGACCTACATATGATTTCACATTATACTACGAATAAAGTGCTGCTAACATGTGCAATGCTGACCAAGATACAGCAGCCATCATAATTATTGGCAGTCCTGGTAAAGATATATCCTAATGTATAGATGTCTAAAGCGCCCTTCTTACTTCAATTCCAATATGATGGAAATATTGCTCCTCCGGCACAAGTTATTAATACAGATGGCAACTTTTTCTACCATTCATTGGGGAAAGGTTTATTTTAATCTGTTAAACCTGGCTAAATCCAACAAGTCTTTTAAATAAGAAATTATATAAATTCTTTTTTTTTTATATTGAGAATTAAAAGTATATATTTTTTCTTCAGAGCCCAAAATAATTTAAAAACCTTATAAAAACCTATTTTCATAAAAAAGGCTTTTTTTAGTTTTATTACTTAACCTCTTCTGTTAAAAATCTCACCAAATTAATTTGTTTGATGAAAGTACTGCATGCTTAGTTCATTTTTAAGACTGTAAACTGAAGATTACCAGAAAGTTTTAACCCATGTGACTAAAGCTAGAAAGTATGTTATTCTTATGGAATACCTAGGAATCATAGGGCATACTTTGATCTTCAACAGTGACCTTAACATACTTGTTTTAACTCCTCTACCAACCTTTAATTTATGGTTTAAAGGTATGGTGGAAGATTTTTGCAAATATTTGAAAAGACGCACCTTCTCCACTTAAAAAAAAGCATATGCATTACTGTGTACCTGCTCCATAGAGGGAATGCCTATTGAACACTTGCAAGAGCGTGCATGAGCCCATTTCTCCTCGTGCACGCTCTGTTTAAAAGTTGCTGTTTGCATCACTAATACAAGCTTACTTTCCAAAAGAAGATATGCATTTTTTTCCCTATGTCAGTTAAAATGGGGGCGTTATGTAAACATATCACCAGAATGATTGACAATTAGGAAGACCACTTATTTTGATGATCCACCCAGAAAAAGAACATCCTCCACTATACATTTAAGTGAGAAGATATTTTCTTTCATAATTTCCTGATTACACAAAACATGCATTAGGCTCACTGAAGGGCATTTACTATATTACATTTAAGGCTTGATATAGCTCCACCAGGGGATGCCAATAACCATGACTGGTCCAGGTTAATAATAATAGGAAATAATAATAGGAAAAAATTGGACATGCTTAAACTGCAGAATCCTCCACATTTAATTGTAAACGACACATAGCTGTTCAATAAAGGAAAAGTATTTGAAAATCCAACCAAAATTTAAAGACAACTGTATAACTTCTTTTATTCAACACATGTCCATAGGATACACATTTTATCATGAAATTTAAAGCCATTTGGTAAATATAGAATATAAAATTATTGTGAAGACATTATGTGAAGACAGAAAAAAATAATGGCTTTGTGTTTAAGCTTTAAAAAGAATATTTAATTTTTTTTAATCATTTAAATTGAACACTATAAAAAAGCACCACTTTACTGATTTGTAACCTTATCTTTCAAAGGTTAAAATTCTTAAAAAATCCTCAGCTAGTTCACTTCCTAAAGCTTTATTTATTAAAATATGGTTGACTGGACACAATCTAATAAAGCTGCAGATTTACTTTCACTTCTCTCCTGAGATCAGCATCTTTTTTAACAATACTCATACGTATCTCAGTAATGACAAGCGAGTACTAACATGTCCAACTCATATTTTTACAAGCAATTTGTGATGGTGCAAAAATATTCAACAGATTAAAAAATGTACATCTAAATCAAGCTACTGTAAAACTCTTCTGCTTTGTATTTTTCAGACTTTGCTTCTGTTTGTTGTGGCAAAGAAGAACACAGGAAGTAAATCTCTCTTATATTTACTCTGTCTCTCTTATAGCTTTGGAATAAAGATAAAAAAATTCTCCTATAAATAATATCCTGGATACACGAGACTGAGATGATCTTTTACAAAGTATCTGCACTCAGTCTCATAGATTGGATTATGAGCTCCGTTATTTGAGGAGAAGTTCTTGAAAGAGGCGCTGCTCCTCTGCATTGAAAGGAGTCAGCTGAGGTGCTTTGGACATCTCACCAGCATGCCTCCTGGCTGTCTTCCTTTAGAGGTTTTCAGGTTCAGGTAAATCAGCATATTTGGCTCTATATTCCATTCACACACAGCTCTGAGACACAATTTGCATGTTTAAACCTTGATCATTTCAATTCTTTAGTCTGATTCCTCTTGGTTGGATTAGTTTTGCCTGGCTGTTGCAGGCCTGACCTTGGCTGGCTCAGGGATGATGTTGTCTGTTTGGGCTTTGGCGGTCTCTGGGCGGGTTTTGGGCTCCTTCTTTGGCGGTGGAAGTGTTACTGGTTCCCAGAGGAAGTATTCGTGCAGGAGTGTGTTGACAGTCTCAGGACACTCCAGCATCACCATGTGACTGCCATCTTCCAAGACCTTTAGGAACGCCATTAGAAGAATCTGGAGGGAAAAAAAAGAAAGCAGCAGTTGCAGTCAATGCTCTTGATGAAACTTGACAACTCTGAATGTTGTGGCCTAACACTAGCCAGATTTCAGTAACATGATCTCCACTTGTTTTATCTATATTATGGTATTATGTTTTAATGTGTAAAGGAAACATTACTGGATCAGCTAATTATGGAGCATTTTGTGTTTCTGAATTTAAACATGTGGTAAAAGGTGGTTAAAATATGTAATTTTGTGCCTGTCATTTTGACAGTGTTTAGGTCCTTAATGACATCTTAGTCTACTTGAGAAAAATGAACAAAACAATCTAAAGTAGAAAACACCCAAAGCTAGAAACTACAGACTGTAGTAACAACCACACATTTCAATGCAGTCTACTGGGATCAGTAGAAGACCAGTAGAATAAAGATCTTTATTAGATAAACCAGCCATGAGTTTCCACTTCTTTACCAAATAGTTATCTGTGAACAGCAAAAATACTCAAAGGATATGTATGGGATATGACCTGTAGCATCATCCAACCCTTCATAACCCCATCCAACTGTTAAAGAAAAGCTTCCCCATAGCATGATGGTGCTGCCAATAGTGTGTTTCACAGTGGGGATGGTATGTTCAAGGTGATATGCAGCTTTTCATTTTGCTGTCATCCATTTAGAACACCTTCTTCCACATGTTTATTGTCTGCCTTTGGGTGTTTGTGGTCAACCAGTTTGTGTTTTTCAGTGTTTAGTCTTGTTTTTCTCCTAGACATACAGTAGCTATGGGCTCAGCTTTTACTGTAACTGTGTGCTCCCTTTCATCATTTTATGTGAACACTGGCTCAGAGCTTGTCGCTTAGGTGTTTATTTTCTAGACAGGGACACCTATGGAGCTGGTTTCCAGTTACCTTTTCTAACAGAGAAAGTTTTTATGGATCAATGCTTCTACGTTCTTTTGTATGCAGACTTCTTGCTCCTTGAACCACCAGTTAGCCTTGGTAGAAGGCTTACTGGTGCTATTTATAGCACCAATTAACAACATGGCATGTCAAGGCACTTCACAGAGATAATTCAGTGGAAAACATCTAATTTTCAAGGGGTTTCTTGGCAAAAACAACAATTATATAGATGACAGAAATAGAATTTAAAAAATAAAATAAAATAAGTACATGCATTAACTAAACTTTTGCAAAAAGTGCAATTGGATTTCAAGAAACATCCTGCTGGAGCTGCAGCCAACTGAAATATTTAGTGTTGTGATTAGCATAACCATCAAGTAGGTTCTGAAAAGTTGAGAGACTTTTTACCAGTCTGTCTGTATGATTTGATTGACTGACTCTGTTAAGTACCTTGAGATGACGTGTTGTATATAAATCAACTGAACTGAAAACTCAACTTTAACATGATCGGTCTCTCTATTAGTTCAGTACTCGGTGCCAGGATCAGTCCATACCTCAGTCATGCGCTGGTCCTCTTCTACTGGGACAAACTTGTCGTGCATGCCGTGAACCAGCAGGACGGGCACAGTGAGCTCGGCATGATAAACCTCGTCCCCCTCAGGCCAGTACTGACCGCTCATCATGGCACGCAACACAAATGACGACACATTGAAGGCATTGTACTCTTTCAGCAACTGCTTCTCCCTGGCACCCTGCCGTGCAAAGCCGGCCCTGCAGAGGCAGAATCAGAAATGTATCTGATTTAGAACTAGACAGATATGTCAATACACTGTGCATCAAAACACAGCTTTAAGTTTGGCATGACGTGAGAGTAACCAGGTCCTTTTATAGGCCAGTTAGGACACAAAATTGTTTCTATCATTGGTAGTGAGACTAGTCTACATGCATTTCTTTGGAATTTTTTAGAATTACATTTTAAACTGCATGAAGCGGTTAAAATGTTTTGTCTCCTTCCACATGCTTCTCAATAGTTTAGTTGAGAATAAGTTTGGAGTCATTTACTATGTGGATATTTGCTAACAACCTTTAATTTGAGATGTTCGCTTTGGTACTACCACATAATGATATCTCTTAGTTGTACAGTTAATTTTGTGCAACAGTACCTTCTATGGCAAATCACCTATACAACATGATGCTAGGGATGTGACTTTATCACACAACCCTTACTGCCATCATACAGACTCAGCTGTCTTTAATGCAGAAAACCCTTGTGGATCATGGTAGCTGGTGTTGCAGAAGAGAAACTCAGCTAACCCTGAAAAAGAGTTAGTAGAGCTACCTATGGTGGATGAAACTCCGAAGAGAGAAGAAGCATTTACAAGTTACAGCTATAAGATACAAAGAATCCCAGAATAAGTCACTGAGTTTATCCCTTTATATTATATTACCAAACCGTCACTGTAATTGAATAGGTTTTCACATTTTGCAGCTTCTGCAGCCACAGTGTGTTCTTCCCTCTATGAGGATTATATAAACTTTTTTTTTATTCATCCTAAAAGTGTGATTGCTTCAACATGAGAAAGGCATCATCAAAAATACGGTATTATAAAATATATGTCATATGTAAAATGAGCATGATCTAGAAAATCTACAGCAATCATTTAAGAAATATCTAATGACTCTGCAGCAGACAAACTTATTATGCTCTAAGTGTTTGGGGTTGGGAGACCTGTTTGCTTCTGTTAGACACTCCAAGGATTGGTTTTATAAACATGTTTTCTTTAATAATATTTTTGTCCTTTCAAAGCTGATTGGCTGGGCAGGAAAAGAAAGCCTAGAGATATGACCTAAGCCCTGCTTTATCTGCACACAGCCACTTCCATGCCCAATGCACAAAGTTGCTCTTTTAAGCCATCGTTTGTAATATTTTATTGAACCTTCTATTTTAGCTACTTTTTGGTTTGTTCTGTCTTTAAGATTGGGACGTGCAGGGAATGAGCTGCAAACAAATGTATCTTCACTGCTCCAATGATTCTTCATCCATTTATTAAAAGACCTTCTCTTAGTTTTTCTGTAAATACAATTTTCTATGATCACTCATTCAAATCGCCGCCACTGATCTTAACTGTATTTAAGCAATTCAATCTAGGAACCATAATAGCCTTCACTTAAAGCGGTGGATTCAATTAAGCAGATTCAGGTAAAATTACATTTTACCTGAATCTGCTTAATTTCAACATGAAATAAACCAGATCACTATCTTTAGAAGCACCAACATCACTGTCTACATGCATTACATAAAAATAAATCAAACCTTAGATAACAGACATGCCATAGAGGTGTTAAAACTATGTTAACAAATTATATAAGATACCTTAAATATGTACAGAGGACACAGATTAAAAGATGTCTCACTTGAGAAAGCTCCAGGCCAACAGTGGGGATAGGCAGTGAAGCACACAGGTGGGTAGGTTGAAGATGCTGCACAGACTGGGCTCCAAAGCTGTTGGACCACCACCATTGATCATCACCATCTTGTGAATCTGGTCTGGAAACTCGTGAGCCAGGAACGTACAGAACGACACGCTGGAGAGTGTGAACAAATGGTAGGTTATAATACGGAGTGGAAGAGACATATGGACATCTTATGGTCTCCTTAAACATAACTGTGCTTTTGGTGGGGTTATCTTTTACATAAATGCTGAATTTTTTTAAAGGTTTTCCATAAACAATATCCTGAGACTGTATGGATGATCCCTCTCTCTCCCTCTCCTGTTTCTATCTAAATGCTAAAGCTTGTGGCCTACCCGTATGAATGTCCAATGAGAATGTTCCTCTTCTTCGCATATCTCTTGAAGATTAGCCTCATATCCTCAGCCAGGGCGTAGAAGGTATAAGCTGCAGTTATGTGTGGAGATGAGCTTGCTCCATGACCTGCCAGATCCGGGGCAATCACCTCGTACCCGAGTCGGGAAAAGAAGTCCAGCTGGCTCCCCCAGATATCCAGAGACCCCCCCACCCCGTGGATGAAGAACAGAGCTACGTCTGCATGTGTTCCTTTGCAGCTGGATATCCTCCTCTCACAGTCAATCACCACAGAGCGCTTCGGCTTCCTCCTCCGTTTCCGGGGTTGCTGGGATTGCTCAGCCTGTCCTGCAGCAGGTGCTTCTCCTGCTGATCTTGTCTCTGAGGCCCCGTTGTTTCCAGCGGTGAGAGACTCTGACCGTGTCTCCGGGATGCTTACAGGAGGTGAAGACTTACGGCAGTCTGTCAGTTCAACCTCCACAGTGCTGTTGGGTTCAGTCTCTCCATTCTGGCAGGTTTTCAGCTCTGCACTCGCCCTCTCACCCAAGTTCTCAATGAACAGCTGTCCGTTCCTGTAGACTGTGATTTTTCTTTTGCAGCTCACAATCCCACCCAGCGAGGGTTCCTCCACCACTGGTCTGTCAGGGATGATGTGTCGAACCCGCAGCACACGGCCCGGTTTCACCTCCACAAACTCATAACCGTCTGCAGGTTCAGAGGTTTCTACAGGAACCACAGTATTGGCCGGTTTGGAGGTGAGGCAACAGAGGAGGCCTTCAATAAAGCTGGTCAGCATGGCTGCCAGACTGAATAGAAAACAGTCACAGAAAACATTATTATTATTAGTCAAACCCTTACATCTAACATAGGCATATTCATTTTGGGCCTTGAAACATTTAAATATTACTTTGTTGGATGGTTATATCATATAAACAGTTTTAACAAAGCAAAAATCAGGTGAATAATTTAGAATTAAAGGTTAATTTTCTTCTTTTCATACATTGTCAAATATATAATACCAAGCTCAAACAAAAATACAGTCCCTCTAATGTTATTGTTATTTTTTATTATTTAACTTCTATTTTTACCAGAAAATAAATCCATTGAGATTTGGAATCTCTCTTCATATAATATCCTGGCCAACCCCTGAAGTAACATTTAGGGGTCAACCTCTTTAGCCACTGTCAAGCTTCTGCCTTAATTCTGTTTGGATGATTTATTATTATCCTGTTTGGAAATGGTTAAATGAACCTAAACTGGTGTTTTTCTACACAGCCAGGTCTGGGCAGCAGTTTTAATTTTGGTTTGAGTCTTCAGAAGCTTAATGCTACCTTACGCTAACCCAGGCATGTTGAAAGTGGATCATCGATGGCTATCCTGTTTTGTTGGCTTCAGAGTTGCTAATTTTGATGATTGCAGTTCAGCAAAACCCTGTTAATGAGCTATCAGAGGAAGCTGTGCTGAAGAAGGGAAACCAAAACCTGCAGGGAAGCGACCCGCAAGGATGGACTTTGACATGCCTGATCTAACCCCTCCTTAACCAGCTCTGATGTACATTTTGAAACATTGTCCCATCAGACCACCAAACTGCATTTCAACCAACTAACTATTGATACAAATTCAAAGAACCTGACCTGTGCTTAAATACCCTGGTCATGGTTGGTATGGGCCTTTGTTAGTTTTTCCTGTTTGTGTTCTGGTAATGTCATTTATCTTTATTTTCCTCCTTCGATATTCAGTTATTTAAATTGTTAATTTAATTCTTAACTATTGTAGTTTACAGTAGCTCTTCATAATTAGTTTTCACCTTTGTATTAGTTTTTTTCTTTATTCTTTTTTATCCCTCTGTGCATTTTGGTTTATTCTCCTAGGTTGTTTTCTCTTACTTTATTAAGTTCCTTTTTTATTTAGCTTCATCTCGGTCTGTCCCCTAAGGCTGTGCTCTCTGTTTTTATAAATTACTCACCCTTAATCCCTCTACTAAATACTCTCCCTCAGCTGATCAAAAATCCCCCTGATGACACTCACCTGGCTTCAGTGTCCCTTAAATGGCTACATTTAATCTGCCTGCTTTTCTTTGTTCCCTGATGTTTTGCTTGGTTGAGCCCAGTTTAATCTCCATTTCTCCTGATGACATTGCTGTAAAGTTTGTCTTCATAATAAAACTTAGTTTTTATTTATCATCTGGTTCTTCTGCATTGGGTCAAAACAAAAAAACTTGAAAAGGGTGTTTTCTACCTTTTATTTCATCTGAGGATGTTAGTTTCAGTCAGGGGGTGGAAATTCTAACCAAATTGAGAGTTTAAGGTATAGTGGAAGATGTTCTTTTTCCAACAGAAGTTGGAAAAGAATATCCACGAGGTGTGCACAAGGAGAAATGGGCTTGTGCATGCTCTTGCACGTGTTTAATAGGCGTTCCCTCAAAGAAGCGGGTACAGGGTTGTGCATGTGCCTTGTTTTTAAAAGTGGAGAGGGCGGGTCTATTCAAAAATTAATGAAAATCCTCCATTATTCCTTTAAGTTTATGACTAAGACAGTCCTAACTTTAGCATACAGTAATCTCTACCTCATTGTACATCTATTTAAAACAACTAGTTAGAATGAATTTTACAAACTCTGACTATTTAGATCAAAGCATATTAATGTGTTAGAGTAGCCTAGTCAAAGTCCAGAAATTAAAACATACAGCTGAGGGGGAAATGATTAAGTTAGGAAAAATACGAGGAAGAAACTGAGGGAACCCATCTAAAAGTATGGAAATAAAGCTAAATTTAACTCAAAACACAACGAATTATGTAAGAGAAATAAACTAGAAAATAACATATAAATTTAAATAACAAATTTGACAAGCCCCGTATGGCAAAAGTAACAGGACAAGGCAAACATAACCTAAAATCTAATTGCAAATCTGCGCCAAGACTTGTACTTTCCTGTTCACCATCTCTCTCCATCCAGACTGAACTAGAACTATTTTATGAAGACAAATTAGTGAGGGTAGCTTACTGGCAGAGACAAACTCTTATAAATAACTGTGAGCATTGACTTATAACCACTGAATATAGAAGCAACACTCAGCTACTTTTAAAGAAATCTTTGAAAGCATTGGTTGTTTACCCACTGCTTTGCACCACTGTGTAACTTCTAACACATTAGACACCAATAAAACACATCACAATTGGAGGTTGCAATTAAAAAATGTCAAAGCATGCAAAAAAAGTAGACTTTATATGTTGTTGTTTCTGTGTTCTGTGTATACATTCTGCACAAAAACTCTCTTTATAACTATATTCTGATATATTTCCAAAATAGAAAATTACAATGTAAAGATTGTTTATCTTTAGAAATCATACAAAATAAACTTAGCAAAGCTTGGGTTTCACTTCCAGGTCCGGCATCTGTTTACAACTGAAACCCTTGTGATTTTCTAAGCATCACTTCTTACGGCAGCATTTAAAGATATAAATAGCTGCAGACAGTTATAGCTCCCTGAGTTAAAGCTATCCACCATGTGATCCTCTGTCTAACATTCAGTCAAACCTACAGGGCAACAAACAACCTTATCAGTTAGTTTTGGATCACAATAAAGAACATTCACATACTTAGCTATATCCTGACTCCATTAAAAGTTTATATCATATATTAATAAGATCAAATTAAAAATGTACATACATTGTAATGGTTTTCTGTACAGTAATGTTTCTCCAGCAAACAACATCAGAAACGGCTTTAACAGCTTCTTTTTCAAGGTTATTCACTAGTTTATTGATTAATATCCCCTCAAAAAAATGCACCCAGTGCAGTTCAGTCTCCTATAAAGCTCAGATCTATTTAGGTTATTTATCAGCCACAGAAGCAGCAAGTATGGTCTCCAAGTGTTTGCTGGTGACATTATCTTACCTCCCTGTTGGGAGGATTAAACTCTCTCTAAGTACAAACAACAAATCTTTCCATCTCATCTTGATGAAAAAAGAGTCACAGATGCCCTTGTTGCTGTTTCAGTTGCTGCATTTTTATTCTCTTTCCCTGCTGCTTTTATTTGGGGACTAAATACACATTGTGAAGCAGCCTTATTGATTTGCAGTCTAATTTGTTTCTTTTTCAGTCTGCACAGGCTTATTGTGTAGTGAGGGGAATCCTAAACAGATAAGCTTGTTTTACAAGAAACAAGAGGAAAAGGAGCCAAAGTCTCTATTTTTGAATGTTAAGTTAACCAGCTGTGTCTGTGTGGCCATACTTCTTCATTGAAACTTCTGTAAATATCTGATATCTTTAACTATTTGTGTTAAAGATGTTAAAGTGTCCAATCATTTTTTTAATTAGACCAGAATCTAGAAGTTAAAAGTATTGTTAGCTTACAGTATTTAATTGCAGAAACCTCACCAATATTTTTATGAAAGAAACAAGGTGTGTAAAATAAATAAATAAAAGATCCATCTTAAAAAATGTAGGTGTTTTGCAAGTTTGGCTTGTTTAATAATAAAATAAAAATATTGCCTTTAGCATTCCAGTGAGATATGTTGTCTCTTTCCTTGATCTAAAGATGTGTTGTGTCGATTCTCAGCATCTACTGTAGGATATGGATAACTCCTCCTGGGTGTTTTAATGAAAACTGAAAGCCGGGGAGGGATTTTGACTAAAGATAAATCAATCAGTAATTTCTTGCATTAAGACGGTCAAAGAGCGTTAATTTAGCTAAATGTGTCCCATTCTTTATTGCACACCAGGGCCACAAAAAAAAATCCATAAGAAGGTCACTCCTGCCTTAACTTAAAGATGTTGCAAAAAAAACCAAACAAACATTAAACTTTTCATTTAACAGTCTGTCAATAACATCTATCAATCTAAATATGCCTGCACAATATTTCAATATATATCAAAGTATAATTGTATTTAATTTCAGTGATATTTCAATACATTACAGTATGAATACATCATTTGTCAATGACTGATGTTCCTTTTTTTATGAAGTTTGATGTGTCTTAAGGCAAATATTTATAAAATTGTATATCGGAGGAGTTTTATACTCATGGCAAAATGCTTGTCATACATTTGTATATGCATATGTTCTGGGCATTCTTGGAAATCTCTCTAAGGCTCTTTAATATAATGACATCGAAATTATATTGGATTGACCAAATTCAAGAAATTTATCATGATATAATCTTTGGCTATATCATCCAGCCTTAAATCTACACATTATTTACACTAATTTCTATTTACAGGTGCTGGTCATAAAATTAGAATATCATGAAAAAGTAGATTGATTTCAGTAATTCCATTTAAAAAGTGAAACTTGTATATTATATTCATACATTACATACAAACTCATATATTTCAGATGTTTATTTTGTTTAATTTTGATGATTACAAATGACAACAAATGAAAATCTCAAATTCATCATATCAGAAAATTAGAATATTACTGAAGACCAATAAAAACAAAGGATTTATAGAAATGTTGGCCAACTGAAAAGTATGAACATGAAAAGTATGAGCATGTACAGCACTCGGTATTTAGTTGGGCCTCCTTTGGCCTGTATTACTGCAGCAATGCGGCGTGGCATGGAGTCGATCAGTCTGTGGCACTGCTCAGGTGTTATGATAGCCCAGGTTGCTCTAATAGTGGCTTTTAGCTCTTCTGAATTGTTGGGTCTGGTGTATTGCATCTTCTTCTTCACAATACCCCATAGATTTTCTATGGGGTTAAGGTCAGGAGAGTTTGCTGGCCAATTAAGAACAGGGATACCATGGTCCTTCAACCAGGTACTGGTAGCTTTGGCACTGTGTGCAGGTGCCAAGTCCTGTTGGAAAATGAAATCTGCATCTCCAAAAAGTTGGTCAGCTGCAGGAAGCATGAAGTGCTCTAAAACTTCCTGGTATGTGGCTGCGTTGACCCTGGACCTCAGAAAACACAATGGACCAACACCAGCAGATGACATGGCACCCCAAACCATCACTGACTGTGGAAACTTTACACTGGACTTCAAGCAACGTGGATGAAGTGCCTCTCTTCTTTTCCTCCAGACTCTGGGACCTTGATTTCCAAAGGAAATGCAAAATTTACTTTCATCAGAGAACATGACTTTGGACCACTCACCAGCAGTCCAGTCCTGTTTCTCTTTAGCCCAGGCAAGACGCTTCTGACGCTGTCTGTGGTTCAAGAGTGGCTTGACACAAGGAATGCGACAGCAGAAACCCATGTCTTTCATACGTCTGTGTGTGGTGGTTCTTGAAGCACTCACTCCAGCTGCAGTCCACTCTTTGTGAATCTCCCCCACATTTTTGAATGGGTTTTGTTTCACAATCCTCTCCAGGGTGCGGTTATCTCTCTTGCTTGTACACTTTTTTCGACCACATCTTTTCCTTCCCTTCGCCTCTCTATTAATGTGCTTGGACACTGAGCTCTGTGAACAGCCAGCCTCTTTAGCGATGACCTTTTGTGTCTTGCCCTCCTTGTGCAAGGTGTCGATGGTCGTCTTTTGGACAACTGTCAAGTCAGCAGTCTTCCCCATGATTGTGTAGCCTATAGAACTAGACTGAAAGACCATTTAAAGGCTTTTGCAGGTGGTTTGAGTTAATTAGCTGATTAGAGTGTGGCACCAGGGGCCATCAATTTTGAACCTTTTCACAATATTCTAATTTTCTGATATGATGAATTTGAGATTTTCATTTGTTGTCATTTGTAATCATCAAAATTAAACAAAATAAACATCTGAAATATATGAGTTTGTATGTAATGTATGAATATAATATACAAGTTTCACTTTTTAAATGGAATTACTGAAATCAATCTACTTTTTCATGATATTCTAATTTTATGACCAGCACCTGTATGTTTTCCAGTTAGAATATGGAAGAGCATTACCACATTGAAAACCTTTACTATTGGGAGAAGGAAGCTATTGCAGATACAGTAAATCTTTTCCCTCTGGCCATAAACAAATAACAGAATGTTTAGGTATCTAGGTAATATCGTATCAGTTTCTCTTGAAACACATTATTCTAATCTGGACCGACATCTCCCACCAGGCAGGAAGAGGCTACCTTTAGGCTGTCATCAGTTGAGATAAGCAGAATTATAATGATCACAGTATTATATGCACTGTGAGCAAAACACATTGCAGCAAAAATTGCTTTTCTCCAAAATCTATTGAAAGCATGCTTGATGACTCCCTTGTAGATTCCATCCATCCATCCATCCATCCATCCATCCATCCATCCATCCATCCATCCATCCATCCATCCATCCATCCATCCATCCATCCATCCATCCAGTGCCTGTTTCAGGATTAGTGGGCATATTCAGCTAACCACCACCCCACTGGCAGCCATACAGCACCCCAAAAAAAGAAAATCCAATCAAGGAAAAGCAAAGGAAACCTAAACTCTATCTGATGTATACGTGAACATAGATAACTCTACTTAAAGTTCATAAGTTGTGGAGAAACAATCAGTTCAACAAGTTGAAGAGACTCTTTCCCAAGAAACTTCTGGACTTTTTAGAAGATCACAGGTTTCAGTGAGACCACAGAACCAGCAAATCACAAAAAGCCAGTCAAATTAGCACCAATCCTGATCAACCAGTTGGATTGCATTGCATAAAGTGTTTATTTTTCTGTTAGGCTTTACTATGTAAATCTGATTGTTGTGAGTTTTGCCTCCCCAATATTGGCATTCTTAGGGTAACTCTCTGTCAAATTTGGTTCATTGTCACTGATTCAGGATCTCAGGGTAGCCTGCATGGTTGCCATTCTTTTACGGCAGTTTAAGTCTCACATGCTGACAGATTCAAGAATTGTTTCCAAACTTTAAATTTCCCTGCAACTAAAACACATGTGTTTTACTTTGGTTGCAGTGCTACTGCTGTCATTGACTGTTAAAGGTTATGACATAACATCCCACGTGTTACACACAATCACAGCTCTGGTGCCCAGGAAAATGGCAAAGACTGCAACATAACAGTTAAACAACAATTCACTCAATGTTGATGCAAACCTGATTTGTAAAAAGTCACCAGAAATCAATTAAATAATGCTAGTTGTAATAATTATTTCTGTTTACTGTTATCATAAATGTTCAATAAACTGATATGTTTAGTTACATTGTTGACAAAAGATTGAGTACTAAAATTACATTTAGTTCACTCAAGTTCAGAAATGCATTTTTCAGACAAACTGTAATACCAAGTTTTTCAATTTACTTTAAGTAAAACTTTAATAAAACAAAATAAGTTTGTTTATGATATTTTAGATTACAAGAAAGTCCTTAACTGAATTTAAGACAATTTTTTTTGTTTTTATTTATAGTAAAAGTGTATTAAAACACAAACAATATCTTGGATTAAAAGAATATTCTGAGAAATAAATATAGCTGCAGTGTTGTGTGTTTTCCCATTTATTTGCCTAAAACACTGAATCCCATTTGAACAGAGTGATGTAATTTAAGCAAAAAGAAATAAAGAAATATCTCTATCTAAAGGAAAAATAAATGATAAAATCAAATGTAATATTTCATTTAAAGAAACAGTAAAATAATCTGCGTGTCTGGAATGGCCCCAAATCTGGTATGCTGAAAAGGCACTGTTGAATAAAACTAAAATATAATGCAATCTATTAATAAAACAAAAATAGAACTAAATTGAATCAGAAATCTTACCTTCATCAGGGCACTATCTAATGAAACCTTCTATGATCAAACTGGTGCCGTTTTTCTTATGAAGCATGGACGCTATAATCTGTTGTAGCCAATCCAATAATCTAATTTATTCTGGATTTCACTGGCCTGTTGGGAGCCACCATACGGCGACCGACCAGTACCAGCTGACAAAGTCTTCCTAAGCACCAGAGGTAAGTCCAAAATATCAGACAGGAGCTCCAGGCCTCTAGTTTCATAGTGGGACATCAAAGAAGGCGCTGGAAACGCTCCAGAACTCCTCTTCTGCATCAGCGGCTTTTAAATCCACCTGCTTCTAGTCTTTGCTACGCATGGGATTAGCTGCCCCCTGCTGGTGAAAGTGGGGAAATGGTTCCAACGGCTTGTGGGATTACGTTTGTTTATTTGAGAGACTTCTTAGAATATGGGCGCAGTAACATGTTGCCTGCCATGTGGTTGACGTGTGATCTGTTCAGGTTATACCCCACTCCTCTCAAGAGCCAGGGACCAGGTCCTTAAGAGGCCCCAAATGAGAGCTGCAAATAGAAAAAACAAAAACAAACCTGAAAATTTAAAAAAATGTTTGTATCCATAAGACATCTGATCAGCTATAAGTTTAAAAAAATGAAAGCAACAACTTTTCAAGTGTTGCTAATGATTAAAATGAGATCTATGTACATACAAAGTATTGTTATTACACTGTCAAAAGTACAGAGCAAAGAAATCCACTCTTAGCATTTAACCCATCCCCTTGGGGAGCAAGGGGATGCCATTGTGTGGCCCCCAGGGAGCAGTGTGGGGTTAAGGGTCTTTGCTCAGGGACCCAGAGTGGCAGTCTGTGGGAGTGGGGCTTGATTTTAAAACATCTGGATTCCAAGTGCAATTCCCTAACCACTAGGCCGCCCTCCCCATACTGTTCAGTATAGAAAAGATTTGGAAAAAAAACAGGGTTTATAATAAGAAAAGCATACCACGCTTTTTAGAAATGTCTTTGAAAAAACATTATTTTCCTTATTTAATTATTGCCTTTTATTTTGTGTTAGTATGTGGAAAAAGAACACATCGAGATTGATGTTTTTAACCTACTTAAATGTGAAAGTGTCTAAAGGGTGCAGTTTTAGGGGCAAGGTGAGGCAAGTTCATTTTAGCAAGACAATAACATTTTAAAGTGTTGTACATGAAAAAACACAGGAAAGCAATGAAAATTGCCCTCCACTGGTACAGAGGTTATACACAATTACTGAGTTTGAATAATTAGAGAATAAGAATTATTAATTAAAATGATAAGATATTCATACAAATGACTAATAGAATTATTTATAATCAAATAAAAGAAAGTTGGACTACAGTTAAACTCATAATGTTTAGATGGCACAGTGAAAAAAACATTCTCACAAATAAATTGTTAATCTGGATTTAAATAAACTGAGGGTTCAGAGATTTTAAACTTTTATTGTAGATTATTCCAGATTAGGGGAGCATAAATGATTGAGATGTCTGAGCAATTGATACACTAACACCAAATCTGCAATGTGTTTCGGTGGTAAGCTATTCTGTGGTGTATAGGCTAACAGAATTATTCTAAAGCCATTTAAGTCGAGTCGACTATTTTAAGTATGTGAGCCAAACGATTTGGATCCATAAAAGAAACCTAATTCTCATCACTACTCATTCTATCGGAAACGAGGCTCGTCAACACGGCAGGTTGAGCTCTGTATTCCGATTGGCTGTCAGGTTCAGCTGTCGTCACTTCAATGCAAAAATTAACCAATAGCCGCTTAGTGGGCGTGGTTACGTAAACATCCTTGCTATTCAGCTATAACATTAGCCGAAGGGGTTGTATGTAAATAGCTTTACAAGCTTATAGAATGTCAACTTGGATTGTTTTTTGTGTGAGTGCTGTGTAAGTTTTGGTGAATTCCTGGACATATGTCTAAATATGGACACCAGAGGCTTTATGTAAAGGCTGATAGTTCTTTTTTTTCCTATAAAATCCGTCTGGTTAGCTGCCTAGCCTAGCCTGTTAGCTATTGCGGGGGCATTACGAGCAGCACAACAAACACCGAGTCAGGCCTCCTGGTCGGCGAGTCGACGTTACACATTCCTGCCGTCGTCATCATGGAGAAGGTACTTGTTGTACAACACGCTTGCTGTTTACGTTTTTAGCTCGAATACAAAGAATGTGTTGGGATAGCGCTCTGGTTTAATGTAGCATATTGCTAGCTGGGTTTTAGCCACACCTGCTTCGGTTCAGGCCAAACCGGCATTTTTATTCAACTACGCCTGATACAGAGTGAACCAATTCAGCTAACGATTCAGAGATGGCAGCTGAACACCGTTACCTTTCTAGGGTTTTATAAAGAGGCGATGAGAAATAGACTTTGATCTAAAAATCTTGTTGATGTCTTCAAATAACTAGTTTAAAAGGCGCCTGTTACACATTTCAACTAAATGAAAGTAAAGGAGTTTATATAAAAGTCTAAAGACCTGTAAAGATCCATATGATTTTTATAACCATAACCTATCTCTCCCCACAGGCTGATTTCTTGAAAGGACTCCCAGTTTACAATAAAAGCAACTTCAGCAGATTCCACGCAGACTCAGTTTGCAAAGCATCTGTAAGTAGCCTCTGTTATTACATAGGTGTTAAAAGATAAATTAGATCTAATGATTAATTGAAAATGTAGAAGTGGTAATAAATGGTCTTATAGTAAAGTAACACCACAGCTTTCTGCATCCCCGTAATTACACCAGTAAAGTAAAATCCCCCACATTTTAAACAATAGATCTCTAAAGGTCCCTGTTGTTGTTTTTCTCTGTAAAATTTCCTCAGGTTTAACTTTCTTGATGAACTTCCCTGTTCTGTATTTAATCTCTTATTTGTTATAATTACACAGGAGTCTTAGAAAAGGGTTAGTTTTTTTTTATCAGTAAAAATTAATATCAGGCCAGAGTCTTTACACAAATCTGCAGTTTAACCAAATTAAACTTTATTATTAATAGGAAGGATGTGACATATCTGCTATGAATATGGGAAAATTCATAAGACATGACTGGTTATAACAAGGAGCTCTTAGTAATAATAGGTGTTGTTACTAATGTGATGTAATGATGGGTTTGTTTGCTGCTGTTAAGCTAAATGCAGCAGCAGTAAGTGGTTGTAACTCAACAATGTAGATGGAGGATGAGCTTTTACTGTAAAAGCAACTAAATTGATCTTAAGGCAGTACTACATTTAGCCGTGACTTGGCAGCAATAGCAGGCTGAGGCAGGTGAGTTCTTTTAGCTGCTCCATTATATAGCCATTACAACGCTTTTAGATTTTCTACTGCAGATACCCTTCCTAATAAAACTTAAATTTGAACCTTCATCCCCAGTATCTAATACGTACACAGACTTTAGCTGCTATACTAAAAAATGACTAACAGTAGGTAGTTAATACATAAATAAAGAATTATAGTAGCCATAAATTAAATTTAAGTTTGGAAACACAGTTTTCTTACAGTTTTTTTAATCCATATGTTGTTCAGATAGATATTTGTGGGTATTTTTTAATTGAATATATTAACCCACCCATTGGAGTATAGGGAAGGAGAGCAGAGCTGCTGTATTTTTTCTTTGAGCCTTATTGCTGAGATCACTAATGATTGCCAAGTTCTATTTTGGATGCATCATTCTATGTTTTTTTTCCCCTCTTTAATACAATACTTTTTTTTTCTTTTTTTTTTCAATGTCCTCAGCCTCTTGGTGAATTCCTTTCCTCCTGAAATCACTGAAACAAAAATAATTATATTATATGAAAACTTCTGTTATGCAGCTATAACCTGGTCACAGCAAAAATCATAAATTGTCCTATCTGATGTGAGGAGGTGCCTTACAGCCCCTGGCAGGTAATCATATAAGGCCTACTCTAAAAGCAGTGGGCCAAATAAAATCCTTTAGTTTGTTTTTTTTAACCAACATTAAATTTTTTTCCATTATGATTGTGTTTATTTACCTGCAAGTTTTCTAAGTATGATATGAAGGGCAAGAAAGTTGATTAACTCTTTTCCAGATTTTGTAAAATCATTTATATATCACATAAAGAAATCTTCAATGATGGCACAATGCTACTGATTTGGTTCCTTGTTCAACTCTTTGCAAGTGAGACCAGTTCACACCGGCTTGCTTTTCCATCGCCTGTTTCTGATATGACTCTAAATATGTAAATGAACTCCCACGATGAATTATGGGTCCAGTCAGCTGTCTGCTGACAAAGTTATATGCAAACTGTTTTTCTCCTTTTTTGTGAAGACACAAGCAGAGCTCCACCTAAACAGGTAGCAACAAGTACAGAAGGCTGTGGCAGAAGGAAAAAGGCACGTAGCAAATTACATCAGACCATACTTTTGGCTTTTCTCTCTCATATTAGGGATCCAAATTTTAAAGTGAATTCCTTTTTGTCTGTTTTTTTGGGTGTTAGTTTGTCGTTTTTTTGCATTCTAGAAATCACAGTGCCCTAATTGGAGAGCTAACTCCTCAGCATCTGCAAAGGCAAGAGCAATATAAAACTCTTCCAAGGGGAAACTGAGGAATATAGTTGTTTTTTTCTGCAGCATTTGTGCCCCAAACCTCTAATGATGCTGCCCTGGAAAACTGCCCATATTTCCCTCAGTAAACAGCTGCCGCTGCTACACACAGTCATTCGGTTGCAATTGTTTTTCTATCTACTGTGTAACAACCATCATTGTTAAGGCTTGTTAACATATGAGTTTGAGGAAAAGGAGATTCTGTTCATTAACCATTAATCTATCTTTATTATTAATAGATTTAAAGTTAAAATTTGTTTAATGCATGTTATAAATTTAGATGTAGTTTTGTTGGGAAACTGAATATAGAAGTTATTCTCTGATAAAAACTGTTGAACGAATGAAGTAAATCTGAAAAAGTCTTTACTGTACTTTCTTAGTTCTTTCTGTTTTGTTTGTACAGAATCGACGGCCCTCTGTTTACCTTCCCACAAGGGAGTATCCGTCTGAACAGAGTGAGTACAACCACAACATCACACATTTATTTTAACAGCCTGGACTTTGGTGACTTTAATGTTCAGAGTATAAACAGCATCAACACAATTAATGACTTTGAAGCTGTAATTTGTTGGTTGTATATTGCTTAAAAGAAGCTACTAAGGATATTTAGGGACTTAAAGGTCAGATTGTGGGTTTGTGGAATAAATTGTAGGAAACATGCGAAAGGAAGGGGTAAGCAAAAAAAAAAAAGAAAAAATGTAGATGCAAAGTTTGTACAGGTGACATCAGGAAAGCCCCGATAGCCCAGTAAATAGATTTAATCTTCCTGTCCTCTGGGAGGTGCCACAGCCTCTGGACCAAAACATAGCAATAACCTGTATATATCTATAGTAGCAGTTATTCTATGCATAAAGCCTTTTAAAAAGACATTTACTGCTCTGTAAATATCTGCATATATCTTTGCTGAAGCACATTAGGTTAGATGCAGTCTGCATTCTGTTGCCTTCTACTTTTGAAATGGGGAATGGGATTGAAGTTCTGATGTCTGTGTCTTTATTAAGATTTTATATTATTGATATTCTATTTTCCTTGTGAGTAGTTAAAACTGTGTAAAGTTAACCACCATGCTCTTTTGTTTATCTCATATGTTTGTTGGTTACAGTTATTGTAACAGAGAAAACCAACATCCTCCTGCGTTTCCTGCATCAGCAGTGGGACAAAAAGGTGATTCCTTTCTTAATTATTTTTTTATCTTAATTACATCACAGACTCTCATATCTGTTGTGTGGTAGCTGGATAATCACTTGTACTATGACGGAGTACTAGGGTAAACTTGTAATTTTACGACTTTATTCTTGTAATTTTATGACTTTATTCTTGTAATTTTATGACTTTATTCTTGTAATTTTACAATTTCATTCTTGTGATTTTACAATTTTATATTCATTATTTTACGACTTTATTGTCATAATATTACGACTTTTTTCTCGAAATAAAAAAAAAAAAATCTCCAACCTGGTACTTCCTTGTACCGACCTTTCTAAAACGTTTTGTTTTTAAGCAGAATGCAGCAAAGAAGAGGGAACAGGAACAAGGCGAAGCGGACAGCCCAGCACCTCCGAGGAAAATCGCCAGGACAGACAGCCAAGAGATGAATGAGGATTCATAAAGTGTGTGTTTGTGTGTGAGGGGATGAGGATGCGTGTGCACATCCAGGGTGTAGCCAATGTGAAGCAATGAACACAGAAAAGTTGGGTGAACCCGAATAAAAACGTGGTAGCTGTGAAAAGAGGTGCACTGATCAGGGTTTTCCCGGCTGACTGTGTTAAGGTTGGGTCAGAATCCATCTAAATGTACGTTTTTTTTACTTTGGCTCTGACAGTCCGAACATGTTGACTCCTCTCCATGTGAGCCAGAACGCCTGTAAGTGTTTGTATGCATGTGAATGTGTGTTCTGTATGCCTGACCTGAGCGACTATTGAGTGTGTAGATTTAAAATGGAGATAGACTGGACAGGAAAGGTCAGACTCTACTTTAAGAGATAAACATGTAGTTCTGTCACCTGCAGCGTCCTCTATGATCCATATGAACATTTTCTTACTCTTTTAATTTTATTGCCACTTGTCGTTGAGCCAGCCGGCAGTGCCCACTCTGCTTCACTGCCCACTTTTTAGCCACTGGGGGGCGCTTCAGCATCCCTAAAAACCCAGTCTAACAAAGAATGCACTGTGACAAAGAGCACAAAGAGGAGCAATTTCTTCTAAAATCTCCCCCATGTAAGATCTGTGAATATATCCCTGTGTGCTGTATATTCTGGGACCATTGCTCGTAGGGTTTAGGGTGTTAATGTGTCTGAGATGCATTTTAAATCTAGCATCTCGCTAACTATGGCTACAGACAGCAGTTGATTTTCTTAGAGGGAGGAATTTGGATATATTCAGACCTTTAACAGCACAGATAGTAATAAAAATATCCAATTACATGAGAGGATGGGTGGAGAGGGCTTTATTTAACTTTTCCCTAAATAAATAAAACCAGAACAAGTTTGTGTTTCACTAAATAAAAACATACCCCTGGATACAACAAGAAAAAGATGCAACCCAGTGGATGTTATCTCGCTTGCATGTTGTTGTTTTAACTGCTGGATGTTATGTTGCATAACTGAAGGGGGGGTTGTGATGACGTCTTGTATCAGCTTAGAGGCCTTACAACTGCTCATCGTGGGTCGGATCCCCTCAGCTGCCGTGGCTCGAAGGTGTTCTCCAGATTCGCGTGTTTTTTTGTTTGAGTTCGAGCATGAATAAACGCAGAGCGATGTTTGAAAGGGATCTTTTATTATTTCCAGCCACATAACGCACATCAAGCATGGACAGTAGCGTTCAGTCCCAGTCCTGCTTTCAGGTGATTCTGGTGGTTTAGGCTCCACCGCTGCAATGAAGCTACTTGCTCTTATCACTGCCCGGCAGTCACGTTGAACTTTCCTGATCTTTTATCCGACGATGCAGCAGTGTACAGCTCCAGTGTTTTTTTTTTGTTTTTTTTATTAATTATAAAACATATACTTCTGCTTTGATAGACTGTTCAGCTCCACCCTAAGCCTTGCTCCCATACTGTGTGTTTGATCAGATGTTCTGTTAAGCTTTGCTTAAATAAAGCCTGATTGAAACTTGTTTCCTCTTTTTAACATGTATTTATTACCAACCATAAGAAGTCGGATCTCATGGAACTGGGTAAAGAGAAAGAACATGAAGGACTGAGGGATCTGATAAATAATACATGGTTGCATAGAACATTCTGGTCCTACTCTTATTTAATGATTATACAGTATCATCATATCATGCAGCAGGATAACTCAAGCTTTCTTTTGGTCAAATTACAACTCCAAATGTGTGGTTTTCTTTTTGTTTTTTTGTTTTTTACACACATCAGGATATTTTAAGTGATTTTTTTTTTCTGGTCATATTTAGCTTTGGTTTGTGTTCACTTAAAATTATTGATTTCTTCCTCTCAGATCGACAAATGTCTGTCCAGCATTTCCTGACAATGTAACTCATTTAATATTTTATTTGATCACAAAGAGAAAATGGATGCTCCAGTAATGAGTTTAAGATGTTAACTGTTTGCAGGATCTAATGTAATGGTCTGTCTTACAGACACATGGAGAACCCTTTGAATGATGACACTTGTTGTTTAACTGTCTTCTAGAGGATGTTCACAGTTCTTCTTTTATTATGAAGAATTCTGTGTGAAATCATCTCCAGAGGATATAGAGGAGCTCCTAAAACAGAAATGGCCTTCTTTATTAGCTTGTTTAGCTTCTTTAATTCATTTGCTCTGATTCAAGTTTTTTATTCCAGCATTTTTATTGTCATTGATGCTGTTAACTCTGCAGATTAAGGCAGAAAAGATCAGTCTCCACAACAAATGATATGCATCACTATAAAATCAGTAAAAATTTCGGAAATTAAGTGTATTTACCCTAAATTTGAGTAGGTAAATAGTTTGCCAACGAAATTAGTATTTTTACTCATAGAATTAGATAATATGCACTTAAAATAAGAAAATGCAATTATGTTTTAATTTAAGAGTAAATTGTCTTGTTCCATCGGCAAACTGTCTCTTTTACCTCCTCAATCCAAGAAAAAACTCTTATTTTAAGAAAAAATTACTTATCTAGATTTTGATTTTTTTTTCCAATGTTGCTGCAAACACTGAAAGTACAGCCTCCTCTGTCTTTTCTTATGGACGACTTGGCAGTTGCGTTTCCAGTGGAGTCTGTTCAGCTTCAGCATGTTTATTGGTTAGATCTCACACCATTAAACCTTCACATCTGGGCCTCAGAACCTATCCTCCCTCCTGAACAAATATATCCATGAAAGTAGGACCTTCAGGTATCTCTTGATAACTTCCTTTAATTTTCTCTCAATCCAACAGAGGAAGCAGTTTTTGCAGTGTGCCTTCAACTGACCTAGTTTGTGAATTAATCCAACAGAAGCCTGCAGATGTGTTTTCCCAATATATCAACAAGGCATAATAATCTTAGTGTACGAAAACATTTGATTGAAGAAGCTAAAAAAACCAAACATTTTTTTTGCCTTTTAGCAAATAGAAATTATTTGGGTAATCTTCTCAGACCTAAGACGTGAATAAAAGACAATCACGGTTTAAAGTTAAAAAAAAGTTTTAAGGGGTTTAAAACCTTTACCAAACACTGTCTTCTCCTGCAGGTAAAATGTTTTCTACCGATTTCTTCTCCTTGAAACCCACTTGAGGAACCATGAAAGGCCCCTTTCATCTGGTCAACAGGGAAATATCTAAAACAAAATCCAACACATTCAAAGCATTTGAAAAGAGTTTTATTAACTATTCTTTTCAGATTTTACAAAAATATGACAAAATAAATTAAAAGAAATAAATAAACCCATTTCCCAGTATTTGTCTTTAAAAGATCTTTTTTTTTCTTCTCTTTTATACATTGGAAGAGCATTTGATGTCATTTCTGTGAGACTTTTATGAAAACGTCATTGTTTTGAGGTTAGGGTCGGTGGGTTCTCACAAAGCTGTAGTGAGAACCTCACCTGTTCACACCCAACCTTAACATCTAGAGCGTGATGCATTTGATAAATCCACCCAGTTCCCCTGCACTGATTCCCCATCGGATCGAAGATGGTAAAAGCTAAGAGAGGATGAGCTTCCTTCGGTGGATGCCTGTGCTCAGCCTTTTCTCTATAGTCCCTCCTCCATTCTCAATGGTTTCCTCATGCCTCCAGTATCTAATGAAGACAAATTATTTTGATGGTTGTTGTTTCAAACTGGAAAAAGTGAAAATGTCTGCACAGGAAAATGTAATGCTTTAGCAAACAGCCCAAACCCAGCCTCTTCTTGAATATTTAAAGCATTTACACATGATGAAGATGGGACTCTTAATGCATTGTGATGTTCTTCATCCCTGAAATCCAAATGCAGCAAACTGGGAGTGTTTTTTTATGAGACTGAGCTCCATAAAATCTAAATTGCTGCACTGCTTCCCTACAACAATTCATATCCCAGCCTCCAAACAGTACACACAAAGACAGAATATATGCCTCTCATCCTGGGTACGCCTAGTTTACATTTAAAATGGACAGTGTCCAGAGAAACTGAAGTGAACACACTTATACTGACGGTTAAATGATGTTGCAGCATGAGTTATCCTGTGTTTTTCTGTATTGCCTAAATTCTTTTATTATTCAAAACTGGTCTAAAAAGGCAGATGCAACAGAAAAAGATTATTTTAATGAAGCAGTGGAAATAAAGAGTAAAGAAAGGTTGGAAAAAAAAAAGCTAGAACTAAATGCGGGCGATGTCGATCTACAGTATCAGCTTCCATTCACTGTTATTGCCAAAGTCCTTATCGGAGGTGAAAGTGTGTAAATGCATAGTTAATGTTTCCCTCTGTCAGCCCACAGAACAGTTCAGCGGCCTCTGAAACATGGAAGATGTGTGTCAGACGTTGTGATGATGCACTTCCATCTCATAATGCACCCATTGATTCAACCAGTGCTGCTGCGCATTGATGCCCACAGTCTGGTGATATTTATGGTCTTTTTTATAAGCTGGCACCACCTTCTGGAGGCCACGCAGAAGGGAAATAATAATAATGACTTACTGTGTTTTAGATGACGGATTTACATGAAGTTAACTGATAACAGATAATATAAGCAATAATACAACAGGAGCTTTAGAAACCATCTTTTTATGACCCTCCTCTTATATGTTGGTGTAAACAAAACAACAAGTAAAGCAACTAGCGGGTTGTTTAGGTCTCCAACATGATTCACTTTTTGCATTTTCTCCTCTATTTTTGTTTGTTTTCGGTTTCTTAATCTGTTGTGGAATAGTGTACACTTTGAGTTAACAGCATTTCCCAAAAAACAGTTTGTTTAAAAAAAAATGCCTAAAGAGAATAAAAGAAGTGGATATTTTTTTTAAAATTTACCTTGGTGTTAAAAACAATCATGTTCTCACATAAAAAAGAAAAAGAAAATTTACACTGTCTGATGTCTTTAATAGTACTTCTAAAAATAAATGTGTTCTAATTGAGTCTACTTTTAATATATCCTTTATTAGACTTGACATAATATTTTGTTTCTCTGGGGTAGAAATATGATGGGACTCACATCTCTGTCTCTCTTGCTAATGGAAGTAAAAAAAAAAACAATCTCAAGAGATCACTTAAAAAACTACCTCTTAAGGTCCCCAAGTCTCCATAAAAGGAACTATGGGGGTATTTCAGAAAGAAAAGATTTGTCTTTCCTGTTGCTGGGACTTTAATTGACCCCACTTGGTTTGGTCAGATGTTTTGTCAACAAACAATTAACTTGGGTTGGTGGTTAAATATTGAATTTGCTGAAAAACAGTTCATTCCCACTATTGGGTAAAGGGGTGGATGTGTGATCCTGTGGGACTGTGTTGCTACTAGAGGCCATGAGAACCATGTTAGAATGTAACATATCATGAAATACGACAAAAAAAATTTGAGGTTTCTATCAGTGGGAAAATAGTCCAAAACATTTGACTAAATGGTCCAAGGCCATCTTAGTCCCAAGAGCTAAATCCTGATTAAACAGAAAAGAGCATGAGAGGAAGCAGGACACTGGAACACTGAATTCTCATCCCTAAAATAGCTTTTTCTGAATTTTATTTCTAAATCTATAAAAAAAAAAAAAAAAAAAAAAAAAAAACTTTCCCCTAAAGCTATA